GGCAGAATTTTTGGACCTTAATGCCTGCAGAGTCACTGAAACTAGAACCAAGCCATTCAGTGTGATGAGCATTAAAATCACCAACAATTACGATATTGGCTGAACCATAAAGAGATAGAGGGCTTTGTCAAATTGATCAGAAATGAAAGATAATAATTTAATTGAAAAGAATGCAGACATATGGGTGAATTCTTATAAATGTAAATGTTCAGGCAAAGAATGCGACTATTAGAGATTTAAAGAAAGACAACCATCACCACCAAGATCACAAGATGAGACAGTAGAACTCAAATTAGTCTCACAAAGAGAAAGTAAGTTTGGCGAAATTTGTAAGAGATAAAACTCAACAGAAGAGAAGTTACTTAGAAGACCACAAAAATGAGTGAATAATAGATTTAGAGAACTTGGTGGTGACAACGGTTTTTTGTGTTTTATAGTTTTAAGTACTTTAGTCATTTTTAAAATGTGTTAAAGAACTTGACTCAAAGCACAGATAGTACTCAGTACACTATTAAATAGTCCAAGGAATTGCCTAATTACTATTATTATACCCTAAATCATAACAAAGGTAGTACTAAGTTACATATTACCAGTAGCAGGATAATCTGACCTGACGATTATATGTGTGGGACAATTATATATGGTACTTGAGGAAAGATAATTTTTTTTTGCAAAATTTTTATTTCATACATTTATCTATGAATCAAAAGCTTTACTATTAAAGCAATATCAAATAGAGAAATCAACCATTGCAAAAAAAGATGTTAAAGTAGTCATTCAAATCTTTCCAGGAAGCGTGTTTAGTCAATAGCCTGTTCATCCACATTTAAAGAATAAAAGAGTTTTATTCAAAGACAGGATACAAATACTATACGAAATAAAAAATTTAATAAAATAAACTAAAAAAAATTTCAACTTAATAAAAGAAAAATTTTGCCAAAAAAAATAATATACACTACCATCCATAATTATTTGAATGGTCATACTTTTCATTTATCATAATTTATCAAAATTTTACTTGTTATTGAGAGAGAAACTGGAAACAAAATTACCTGAAATACAGTCACTGGCCACAATATTATGATCACCTTTTTTTTCACAATACTATGATCACCAGTTTTTCCACGTATTTTGTCTTTAAAGTTATTTTAAAGTAGTGTAACACGTTCACGCCGACGTGTACCACCGGTGATACATGCTGCCCAATGAGACAGTCTAGTGTGTACTACCGGTGGTACACGCCGGCGTGAATGTGTTAAAGGTGAGTATATTATTTTTACTAACTTATTATGCAATACTGACATCTATCGAATAAGATTAAAAAAAAATTTCTTTATAATCATGACCAATGCGAAGTTAGGTGTGTTTTTAGTCAGCAATGTGAATTTTTGTCAATTTTAAAAAAAACGTGGTTGATCTGTCACACATTGTTTTAATGTTTTAACAGTTTTTTTTAAGTGAAAAGTGTTTTATCATTTTTAATACATTTTATAAAGTTACTATAAATAGCAGGAATAAACATATAGTACCATTTTATTAACATTTTTAGTGTAATAGGTTGTAACTGAATTTGCAAAGGGTGAGTGTAAGGACATAAATCCAAGCCAATTTCAGAAATAAAAGCAATTTTACAGCATTCAGAGCATTCACAATAGGATATTGCTAAAATGTGTCAAGTTTCCCAACCTTTCGTCAATAAAATCAAACACAAAATGGAAAATGACATCACTTGTCCAAAAAGGAAAGGATGGAGTGGGTCAAAAGATAAAACCACTCCCAGGACAGAAAGAATTATAAAAAATGTCTGGAAAATAGAAAAAAAGTCATCCCTCTTTCTAAAAAATCGTGTACAAGTCTGGAATACAAGTTTCGGAGTACACAGTGAGGTCCCAATTTTAGACTAGCCAGGGAACTCCTCTGAGGTGAATATAATTGAGAATTTATGGAACATTCTAAAAGATGAAATCTCTTCCAATGTTTCAACAAACAAAAGGGATTTTATTGAAAAAATTGCTGTATCCATTGGCAACACAATTTTATATAATCTTCACATAAACATCAAATTTGATAATTGCATGATTTATGAGAAATTAACATTTTTTAATAACTGTGTGATTAATGAGCAATTTACAAAACAGTGCACTCATGTAAATAAATGCTAAATCCAGTTTCAACTAATTTGAACACGTGTTTATAATTTTTATCAAAGTGTTTTATTCAAAATACATTTTTATTACCTAAACTATCTAATAATGCAAAAATAAAAATAAAAAATTCTCAAACTAAAGCGTTTTTTAAAAAAGCTTATGTTATTTGAATAATTATGGACGGTAATGTATTTAAATATTTTACTGTTTTTGATTTCTTTTTTTTTTTTAAGGGATTTTTATTTTCCACCACCAAAATTGATACAAGTTGAGGAAAAAAGCAGATAAGAATATAACAAAAATAAAAACTTTTTTTGATATACAATTTTTCATGACTTTTTTCAGCTAGTATTTTAATTTGTTTTTCATATGTTAATGCTAAACTTTACTGTTTTTAACAATGCACAGGAAAGCGAGATAACTAATTGCTATTTATTTGTAAAGATTTTCTAAAATTTTTAAGTTTTCTTTAAGTTTTTGATATAAAAAAATAAAAAATTATTAATACTAATATTTAAATATAAAATATTTGTTTGTTTTTACAAATTCAATTGAAATAGTAGCCACTTTGGTTGGATTCTCTAAATTGTACATTTAAACCTAATAGTTTATTTCCCAATTAACAATTGTTATTGACTATGCTCTAAAAGCTTGTAGGCTAGTGCATTGTTAATTTACTAAAAAAATTTTTTCAAGCAGAACAATCATTATGTTCATTATCTCTAGTAACTCGTATTAACCTTGGAAATTGGGCAATATAAAGGTTACAATACCACAGTCATTAAATGTTGTATATACATTTATAAAAGAAACCATGCTATTCTTTTATTTAATTTTTTCTGTCACTACCAAATTTATTATTCAAGTAATATATTTTACAAATAAATAAAAATTCATTTTCTTATTTCCCTATTATATAAGTATTAAGAAAAAACGTAAAATATAGCATAAACATTTTTAAAAGCAAAAAGGCGTATAAAACAAATAAATATTAAAAAAAAAAAAAAATTCTCATAATTCTAGTGTACATGGCAAAATTAGTTTCTTTATTATATGAACTAATAAAATTCATGAATAAATATCAAAACTTTTAAATAGTAGTTAAATTGTTATAAAAGATGTTTTTTTCAACAACTTTAAAAAAAGAGAATACAAAAAACATATAATATATTTTTAATGATTATATTTTCTAGTTAATTAAACTTGATATTTCATTACAACTTTGTTTCCTTTTATTTAGTGTCAACTTTTATTTAAGTCAAGTGTAGCAAAAATTTTTTTAAAAGCGAAAAGATATGAAAATGAATAAATGTAAGAAAAAAAATGAACAAAGTTTCTAGTAGTTCTAGCGTACATAGCAAATTAGCTTCTTAGTTATACGAACTGATAAAAATTGTGAATAAACTGCATATCAAAACTTTTAATTGTTGTTAAATTTTTATATTATAATTTTTATTTAAAATATATTTTTTTCCTTAACTTGTTTCAAACTTGGTAGCTAAAAATAACAACCACCTAAAAAAAAGACTACAAAAGTTTTATAAAAAGGTTTTTTTTTAATTATCAATTTTTTTCTTAATTATTTTTATTAAAATTCAATATTTTGTTATTCAATTTTTGTTATTCATATTTTGTTATTTTGTTTCCCTTTTTTTGTATTGGTATTTTACTCTCAGCAGATTAGTTAACTTTTTGCCGCAAATTATTGAAACACTTTAAAAGTTAAAAGATGTAAGCTGTTGTGGTCATTGTGCCTAAAAAAATTTCTTTCAACATGGATGAACAAGGCATAAGAACAAGGCACACGGTTCCTGGGAAGGCTTGTTATTGATGCAGGGATGCAGAGTCCCAAAATGGACTCTGGATTTAAAAGTTACAAAATATAATTTTGTTTTGTTTTTTGCACAAAAAATGTAAAAAAAAGCTTAAGAACTACTTTTGGGGAAAAATGTAAAAAAATGTAAAAAAAAGCTTAAGAACTACTTCTGGGGAAAAATAAGAGAAACAATCAAATTTTGACCCTGCAATTTTTTGCAAATTTTGAGCGGCAAGGATACTAGGAGTCTAAACTAAAAATAATAGGTTTTTCTTATTGCAAATCAAAGTCACTCAATACTTCTAGAGCTCCTGGACACCAGAGACCACAAAAAAATAAAAATTAAAAGCTGGGGTCCATTTGAGATACTACATCCCTGCACCAATGTGAACTCATATTCGGGCATTTTTTAAAATTCAAGAGAACATATTTTTTAAAATTTAAGAGAAAAGAAAGGAGAGGAAGAAATTTAAGAGATAGAATTGGAGTTAACAAGAAAAAAAAAAAGATTAGAGAGCACTCTTTGATTGGACATTAAAACTCTATGAATTTTAACTTAGGATGGTTAAAGTCCATTTTCACTGTCATGCCAGCTCCAACCTGGCCAATAAAAAGTTTTAAATGGATTAAGTTTTAATTAAAAATTGAAACTATTAAACTAAAATTATTTAAAATAATTTTCTAAATAATAGTAAAAGCAAAGTTTAAGCTGAATCATAACAACTAACATACTACAAATATATGCATTAAATAAAATGTGCATTAATGGATTTTATAAAAGACATTCCTTACACTTGATGTACACGCTATATTTATGATATATATCTACATACGTATGTATCTACATACTTATGATAAATATCTACACATATAAATTACTAATTAAACAATAACATTTCTATAACATAAAATTATTAACATAAAACTTTTAAAGTGTTTTCACTACTACATGTACTTTTTAAAAATATCACTTTATCAATATACTGTTTTATAGTATAATTAAAATAAAATGGTTTAGTGAAACCTAAGCTGCTAACCTCATCAGTTGAAGACTTTCGCTTCTTCTTTTTGGATTTACGTCGACTACTTTGAGTTTTCCTCCTACTCTTTCGAGCTTTATGACGATGACGTTCATGTTCTGAGGCGCTCTCCTGAAAATTTTTACAATATAAAGGTAACTATACAAACTTATATGAATTAATATACATATAGTTAAGTACAGCAATTATTTCATACTTCTTCACTATCTTCTTCATCAGATTCATCTTTATTGATGCTCCTTTGAAAGTTTCTTTCAATTTCATAATTAACTTCTGGCTCACTTTCAACTTTTTCATTTTTTTTCCCCACTAATTTTGGAGAGCTAAAAACAGAACTTGATATTAAAAATTTTATTGAATTAAATTTTTTTGCTGATAATTTTGTTTATTTCAATAATAATTTAATTAAACTTACAAATATATATATATATATATATATATATATATATATATATATATATATATATATATACATGTGTATGTGTAAATAATATATATATATATATATATATATATATATACATGTGTATGTGTAAATAATATATATATATATATATATATATATATATATATATATATATATATATACATACATGTGTATGTGTAAATAATATATATATATATATATATATATATAAATATATAATATATATATATATATATATATATTATTTTATATATAAAACCTTTTTTTATTTATTTTTTTATAATCTTTCAAACTTGCATAAATATTTAAATTTATAAATATATTTTTCAATGATAATAAATTATAATAATATTTAGAAATTAAAAAATTATTTCTCTAATTTTTTTTTCAGAACATTAAAAGAAGAATTAAAAAAAAAAAAATTACCTTGAAGAAGATGAGCTCTTTTGTCGAAGAATGACCTTGCGTTGATCAACTTCATCTTCAGAATCTTCTGAACTTTCACTGTTGGAATTATTTGTATTATCTGAATCAGCCTCTATTTCACGAGTAATATTTAATTGTCTTTTATTAACTTCATTAGAAGATCTTTCTCTAACTTTTAAATGTTCTGTCGATAGCTCTTTTCTATGCTTTATTTTATTTTTTATCTGTTCAAGTCTTGATTCCTGATCACTAGACGAGCTTTCATTTCTCTCTAGATTTTCTTTTGAAGATGAACGAGATTTAGTTTTTTCTTTAGTTTTTTGATTTCTAAACAATTTTCCTTTACTTTCAAATTCAACATCAGAACCATTGGATTTACGAACTCTACTTGAAGTAACTTTTTCTTCACTTGAAGATTCGCTAACAGATTTTTTTTTAACTTCTACTCTTTTTAAATTTTTTATATTTGACTCCTTAGATTCATTATCTGAATCTGATTTTTCTGCCATTCGTTTTGCAGCTGCTTCAAGCATTTTTTTGCGACGCAAATCATGAGAATCTTCTTTCTCACTAGATGCAGAAAGACTACGTTGTTGGCGCTTTCGTTCACTATGTTTTTTACGTAATCGTTCAGCCATTTCCTTTTCTTTAATATGGGCCGCATAAAGATGATCTTCAGATAAAGATTCTTCAGAACTACTATGATTTCTTTGTTTTCTAGAGAGTACTACTGATGATCTATTACTTTGAACGGCTGCTTTTTGGACTGGGGATTGAGATCGACTGAGACTGTGACGGTTAGAAGAAATAGGGGATCTTTGACGACGAAATTTTTTGGGGGGAGATTGAGAAAATGTTTTTGATCTTTTAGAACGCAAAGGCGATTTTTGTTGAGGAGAAATTGAACGTCTTGCTCTAAATCGCCTTGGAGAATCTCTTCTGATAAATTTTTCTTTTTGAGGAGATAAATAACGAGAACGCTTCTTGCTTATAGGAGATCTTGAGCTTGTCTTTATTTCAGGTTTAACTGGTCTAGTGTCAGCATTATCAACATCAGATTCAGATTGTTGACGCCTGTATGTTCGATTTTGTGTTTTACCTGACTTTTGATACTGGATAGGAGATGTTTCACTCTTTAAAAGGATCTCATCAACTTCTTTCATCAATCCTTCATCAGCAGGCTGGATCTTAACAAGTTCTTCATCTGATGAGGTCTAAGATGTCATGATATTTAAAACGCAATAAAACATTTAAGAAATATTTTTTTATATTTGCAATCATAAAAAAACTTTAATAATACCTTAGGGGACACACTTTTTACTTGATCTTTAGTATTAATGTTTACTGATGTTGAATGGCGAACATCAGGTGAACGACTTGATTGTCTTCCTTTATTTCTGAAAATATTAATAAAGTTTACATTAGATAACAAATAATCATATTAAATTATAACAAGTCTTGCTTAATCGAATTGCAAACAATAACGAAACAATTGTTTATAACAAATTTATATTCTAAATTAGCATGTTGGTTGACAGAAAACTATGACAGAGTTCCCACTATTTAAACTGATGCTAAAAGTAAGGATTTTAAGGAGATATTCTAATATCAAGCCTTCCCAGGAAAGGCGTGCGGTTTTTTGTTTCGTATGACCACGAAAGCATTTTTCAAGTTAGAGAACATGATCACGGTCGTTTGCACAAGTTATATTATATGCGTTACTGAAAAATTGTTTTAAATTTAAAAACTACATAACAAATTAAAGTAAACTTAAACAGAAAACAAGAATAATAGTTTAATAATTTGTTTGTTGTTTTTATTTTTGTTTTTTCTTAGTGGTTATTATTATTGGCAACTAAATTCATTAAGTCAAAGCAAAAAAAAAAAAAAAAAAAAAAACGGTTTAAGGCATTAAATTAGGATGACTTTCCCATATTTTATGCATTTTTTCTTTTAAAGAGGAAAGAGAAAATATGTATTGTAATCTGTTTGTAAAATATATTTGTATAATTATAATGTAACAAGTTTATATCAAGAGTTAAATTATACGATCGCGATTTGCAAACTCTGGAAAAATATTACGTTTTTAAAATTTTAGTTCATGCAAAGCTGTGTACTTTGTTTATAAGGAGCAAACTATTAAAAATTTGTTAGAGAGAAAGTTACAAAAAACAAAACAAAAACAATAAAACATATGACTACAAAAGTAATAATATTTACTGCATTATATAAGTAATAAAACTATAATAGTGTTATTACATTTATAAAGCACTTATTACTTTGAAAGTTCATTCTTTTTTCGAACAACATTATTAATTCCAAACATTTATTAAAGTAGAAAAGCATCTAGAAAAAATAAAGCGGATATTCAAATATTAAAAATTTCAGGAACTTTCACAGATCACTTAAACAACGTTATAAAAAAGTATTTATTGAAAAGTATAGCATTATGAAAAATGTTACGTAAAAACGCGCGTTAATTTTAAAATCAACCAATAAAAAAACTTTATTGGTTAATTTTAAAAATAACGCGCGTTTTTACAGTCCATTAGTAACGTTTTTCATAATGCTAAACTTTTAATACAATACGTTTTCATAAAGTTCTTTGTCAAGTATTTCTAAGTTACTTTAGTTTTAATATTATTTGAACATCCACTTTATTCTTTTAGATATTTTTCTACTTCAATTAAAATTTGGGAATACTAATGTTACTTGAACAAAGAATGAATTTTTAGAGTTATAAGTGCGTTATAAAAGTAATAACACTATTATAGTGTTATTACTTTTGTAATGCAGTTAGTGACTAGAGTGACTAGACTAGAATTACTTTTGTAATCGTAAGTTTATTGTTTTATTTTTTCGCTAAAAATTTAAGTCCCCTTAAAAACAACAAACACGGTTTTGTATAAACTATAATTTTGAATACTAGATATTTTTCTAGATTTTGTGTTTTGCATTCGCTTAATTCAACCCTTGTAACAAGGGTTGAATTAACCCTTGTTACAAGGGTTGCATTTTGCATTCGGTTAATTCAACCCTTGTAACAAGGTTTGAATTAAGCAAATGCAAAACGCAAAATCTGGAAAAATATCTAGTATTCAAAATTTTAGTTTATACAAAACTGTGTTTGTTATTTTTAAAGGGAGAATCAACTTAAATTTTTAGCGAAAAATTAAAACAATAAACTTACAATTATAAAAGTAATAAACAACAAAGCTTGTTGTTACATTAAAAATATACAAATAAATTTTACAAACACATTGCAATTTGTATTTTTGCTATCCTCTTAAAAAAAAAATTAAGAAAAAGAAAATCATTCTTTTTATTTTAGACTTCGAACTGTGTTTTTTTTTTTTTGCTTCGCCTTATCCAATTTTGTTGCTGAATGTAACTCTAAAGAAACAAAAATAAAAACAGTACACAAATTATTAATTTGTTTTTATTTTTTTCTATTTTTATCTCTTTTTCTTTTGTTAGTTTTGTTTTTGAAACTTTTTCAGCATCATTATAAAACTTGCAAATGGCCATGTTTACGTTTTCTAAAATAATATAATCGCGTGTGGTCATATGAGACGAAAAACCGCATGCCTTTCTTGGGAAGGCTTGATTATTAAAGGAGAATTGGTTGCAAACTACAATTTTTTTGAAAGAAAAAGTACGGAGAATTAAAGAGTAAACAATTACAATAAAAACAGAATCTTATTTTTTTAAATAAATTTTAAATGTAAACAGAAGAATTATTATAAATTAATATATATATATATATATATATATATATATATATATATATATATATATATATATATTTGTATAGATTTCGATATATAGAATATATTCGAGGTTAAGTATTTTGATGTGATAATACGAAGTCTCTTGTACGTGTTACAGTGCTCAATATTACTGAATAATAGAGTTATATATAATTATATTTAGATGAATAAAAACAACTGATTAGCGGGACTTAAAGTTTCATGCCCGAAGGCAATCATCAGCCGCTAGTTGTTTTTATTCATCTAAATATAATTATATATAGCTCTATTATTCAGTAATATTGAGCACTGTAACACGTACAAGAGACTTCGTATTATTACATCAAAATACTTAACCTCGAATATATTCTATATATCGAAATCTATACAAATATTTGCTCCGTAAAGTTGAGCACTTTACTCAAAGTTGTCAACGCGATGGATAAAATAAACTTTGATTATTCAATAAAAAACATTTCAATACCGTCAGAAAGAGACTTTAAATTAAAATTAATAAACAAAACGGAATTACTCTTAAAGAAAATGAGATGGAAAGCATTCTTTTTTATTAACAACGATCCAATAATTAAAGGCAATATCAATTATACAAACTATGGAATTAGATCTCCTATATGTCCACCGCAAATAAAAGAAATGTCATTCTTCAAAAAAGACTTAATCGATCTTATTAAATCGATAAAGTTTCAAGACATACGCAACACTTTTCAAAATGGTATGAAAAAAGATATCAAAACTATACGTAAATCTCACAATACCCTAACACATGCTGACAAAACATCAAATATGTATAAACTGCCTAAAGAAGATTACAATAATCTGTTAACAAATGCTATTACCACTACCTACAAAAAAGCGAATCCAAAATTAAAAGACCATATAAACAAAGAAGGAAAACAAACTTTAACCAACCACGAGGTATATAAAAAAATAGAAATAAACGGATCCTCTGTTTTTTCACTTTGAAAGATCACAAGGAAAACTTCGCTAACAATCCATCTGTGCACCTTTTGAACCCTTCAAAAAATGAGGTAGGACGAATTTCTAAGGTAATTTTGGCAAAAGTTAATTGTGAACTTAAAAATAAACTTTTTTTGAATCAATGGCAAAGTACGCAAAATGTTTTAGACTGGTTTAAAAAAATCATTAATAAGCACTTATGCAAATTCCTAGTTTTTGATGTTAACGATTTTTACCCTTCCATAAAGGAAAGCACCCTCAACAATGCTATGAATTTTGCTGACCATCATATCGTTATCAAAAGCGAAGACAAAGCATTAATAAAGCATGCAAGAAAATCTTTTATCTTCAACAACGATGAAGCATGGATTAAAAAAAAAGGTGGGTTGTTCGATGTAACAATGGGGGCATTTGATGGTGCTGAAGTTTGCGAATTAATAGATATTTTCATACTGTATCAAATTTCACAATATTATAATAAAGAAGAGTTCGGCCTATATCGTGACGATGGTCTTGCTGTATTTAAGAACAAAAACGGTCAGCAAATGGAAAAAATCAAAAAGCATATAACACTCATTTTAAAAAAAACGATCTTCAAATCACCATTCAATCTAATTTAAAAATTGTTAACTACCTCGATGTTACGTTAAATCTAAGTAACGATACGTTTCAACCATATTTTAAAACTGATAATCAAATAAGGTACATCCACTCTAACTCTAACCACCCTCCAAGCATAATAAAAGCAATCCCTTGCAATATTGAACAAAGATTATCTTCCATGTCAATTAATGAAATATTCTTCAAAAAGGCTATTCCACCGTATGATGAGGCTTTAAAAAAATCGGGATACAAATCGAACCTTACCTACCAACCACAAAAATCTCAAGTCAAAATCAACAAAAAAAGCAACGTAAACGTAATATTATTTGGTATAACCCTCCGTTCAGTTTAAATGTCAAAACAAAAATAGGAAACCGTTTTCTAGCCCTTATTGACTTACATTTTCCAGCCGGCCACAAGCTACATAAAATATTCAACCAAAATTCTATTAAGATTACCTACACTTGCATGCCTAACCTAAAATCTATTATATTCGCACAATTTCAAAATTTTACACAACAAAAATCAATTAAAAACCAACAAATGTAACTGCATAGATACATTTGTTGAAAAGAAAAGGCATTTTGCCCTTCGAACAATCAATGTTTATCTAACAATATTGTCTATCAAGCAACCGTAAGTTCCAGTCATCATAATCATAATGAAAAAGTATATTTTAGCATTAGTAATACACCATTTAAACATTTTAAAATACGCAAACTATCTCAAATCATTTGCATCAGTTAAATATAGAAATGACACAGAACTATCTAAGGAGGTATGGAACTTAAAAGACCAAAACATAAAACCCATTATAGAATGGAAAATTGACAGTTGTAAACCTTACAATCTAGCAACAAAAATATGCCACCTTTGTCTCTACGAAAAATATGTAATTTTATCACATAATGGAAAAAACCTACTGAATAAAAAAAACGAAATCGTATCTCATCGTGTCGACATTCAAAAAAATTCCTCTTATCTTAATTTGACACAGGGGACTAATAAACTATAACGGTTTTTTGTTTTTTGATTTGTTTTTTACGTAGATTTATTTATAACGTCATTCTACAGTAATTTTTACATTTTTGTAACGGTTTGTTTACATTTTTTGTTTGTATTAATGGCTGATGATTGCCTTCGGGCATAAAACTTTAAGTCCCGCTAATCAGTTGTTTTTATTCATCTAAATATAATTATATATATATATATATATATATATATATATATATATATATATATATATATATATATATATATATATATATATATATATATATATATATATATATATATATATACACACACACATATATACACACAAACTAGAAATATAGGTTTGCAAACTATTAAAGAACTATATATTTTCTTCATAATTATTAAATATAATCCATTCACTTTAATAAAATGTCCTCGATGATTGAAAAATAAAATAAAAAATAAAATAGAAGGAGAATTAAGGACAGCAGTCAAATTTTAACTTTTTAAAAGGTTTTTTAAAGAGCAGTTGTAGCGCAGTGGTTGCGCACTTGCCTCAGAAACAAATGATCCTGGTTCAAACCCCATCTCTGGGCAAATTTTGTGACATTGGTTAGGAAGGAGGCGTGAACTGCCAATTAAATGCTCAACTGCGGTGCTCTGTGATAAGACCGTAAGGACTTCTTGGGGCACCTAAAATAATTTTTTTTTTAAAAAAAAAAAAGGTTATTTAAGGACTTTTGAGGATTTTTCTTTTTAAGGATATTTAAGGTTTTTAAAGAGGAGTGGGAACCCTGTACAAGAAAAACAAATTTTAACAACTGCAAACAAAACAACTTTACCAATACAAACTTTTAACTTAAAATTTTATGACCAAAAAGATTATTAGCAGTTTGAATGACATTTATTAACAAGAATGAAATGAAGAATGAAACAATTAGCAAGAAAATGTCAACAAAAATAAGAAAACACATTTGCAATATCTCAGACAAAACTGAAAATAAAACAAAAACTACAATTTATAAAAACAAAAATTACCTTCTGATTGGTGATCTGGAATAAGAACGAGAACGAGATCGACGTCTATTACGCCCATAAGAACTGTGATGAGAAAACCTTCTTCTAGGGGAACGAGATCGACGCCTTGGAGAACGAGATCGTGATCTTGTTCGTGAATTCTTTGGTGATCTAGAGTACCTTCTCGGAGATCTTGAAATTGAACGCCTTCGATATCCTGGAGAAACACTTCGTGGATGACCAACCTGTTTAGTGATTTTGAAATTTTTACCACTAGTATAGTCATCACTGAGTTCAGAATCAGAGGACATTTCAATTTTAACTCCTCCATAAATTTTTGTTATTATATCAAAAATAGCTTTACCAAACTTCTCATCACCCTCTTCAACTAAATGTAAATGGTCATGGAAATAGTACTTTGTGTTTAAAGTACCATCAGATAGAACCCAATCAGCATCAGGCTTTAAATAATAAAAATTTCTTATATGACCACTTTTACAAAGTTTTTTTAGATATTTGTTTACTTTTGCTGTTTGCTCTCTTTTAAAAGATGGTTGCAAATCTCGTGGCAAAAGTCCTGCTAAAATAATTTTAGCATTAGGCTTTGCTTCTTGAAACATCATAGCAATAGATCCAATGCCATTAGCAATATCTTTAGGACTATCTCTATCAGTGTTATTAGTACCAACATGAATAACAATTGTCTGAGCATTTAAAGGGATTTCCCCATTTTCAACTCGCCATAATACATGCTGTGTTCTATCGCCACCTAAGCCAAAGTTTAAAGATTTTAATGGTGAAAAGTACTTGTTCCATATTTTTGGATACCGCGCAAGCCCCTGAATAATCGAATCTCCAATAAGTAGGACGCATGCACTTGATGTTTTAGCAATTTCAACATGTTTTTCATGCTCCCCATACCAACCAGCTTTATCCCTACATACTGGGGTACAGGCGGGAGAAGACATGTAACCAGTTAATGATTTGCGAATTTCTCGCTGATCTTTCATAGCTGGTGTTCCGTACTCTGAAGGAGGTACAACACCAATTGTTAAAGCCTTAAAATTAAAAATATTTGATTTTTTTATTTTCAGTTTTAACAAAAACAATAAAAACAAAATTGAAAACATTCTAACAAGTAAATAAAAAAATTGAAAAAAAATTTTTTTTTTAAAATTTTTTTAATTCTTTTTTTCTTTAATAAAAATGAGCTCTCATTTAATATAAATTTTTTGAATTTACAATCATAACCATAACTCTCCCTTTAAAACACAAATTTAAATAAGGTTGGTTGCTCTAGAAAATAAGTTAAACATGGAACAATTGAACACAGCACTATAAGATTGTTTACTGAGAAACAAGTTGGCAAGTTTTGAAATTTTGTTTTAAAATTAAATTTCTATCTTTTAAAATATGATTTTTGTACAAGGAAAACTTTTATTACAAAAACTAAAATTTAGTTACACTTTTCATTTAATAGATATTGATGTATTATTACATATATCCATGTATCATTACATAAGAACTAATAAAAGTCCAAACAAAATTATTAATTTTTATAAACTTTAAAAAATCAAACTCTATTAGTCAAAACGAATTATTTTTGATAAAATAATATAATATAAGGAACAGGAATTGCAATATAACGAAAAAAATTATATCAAAACATTCAACTTTTTATCATTTTTTAATTTAATTTTATAACTAGATGTTTCACTTCCAGATGAATTTTAGAACTTAGTTTAGAAGCATTAAAGCTTGGAGTATTAAAGTGCACACATTTACAAAAAAAAAAAAAAAAAAAAAAAAAAAAAAAAAAAGCATAAGCATCATATGACAAAATATTGTTTTCTATTTTATAGTTTAGTCAACATCAATGTAAAAAGGTGCTGTCTGATACAAAGCTTCATTATTTCCTGTTTACTAAATCTTGTATCTTATCTAGAACACGCTTGGATAATCTTCAACAATGTTATTAAGAAAAGTTTCCTCTCTAAATTTCTGATCTAAGGGTCTGATCTTATTACTTCTTCTAAGGATAAAGCTGAACTCTTTGCAAACAACTTTTCTTTTAATTGACTCTTGATTCTAATGATTGACTCTTGATTCATTTCAGTTAAACTCATATTTAGACATTCAAATCACTCTTGCTTTCATTGTTAAAGTTACTTCTCTATTAAATTCTTCTACAGCATGTGGTCCAAACACCACTACCAGTCTTACAAAAGTGTTATCCAGAGCTTTCCTCAATTCTCTCTAAACTATATAATAACTGCTTGACTAAATCTTGTTTTCCTGCCTGCTGGAAAATGGCACCTGAGTTCTAACTTTTAAAAACTCTGGTGAACATTATGACCCCTCCAACTATCTTTTGATAAGTATATTCTCTATTCTTAGCAAGGTCTTTCAGTCTTTGATCACCAATTTTCTAACATTCCATTTTCCCATCTTGATTCAAATAACTTACTGTCAGATAATCAATACAGTTTGCAATCTTTTTTCTACAGCTAACTTGCTAACTACTGTGACTGAAAAATTCTATTGTGCATCATTGTGCCATTTAATGGTCTTGATATATCAAAAACTTTTGATAAGGTTTGGCATGCTGGTTATTTTGCTTTTGCTTAAGCTTACTTTATATGGTGTATCAGGAAAAGTTTTTGAGATCATTTCTTTCTAATTGCTTTATTCATCCTTTAGTCATCCAAGAAGGCCAACACTTCTATTTTAGTAACTTCTGGAGAACCTCAAGGTTCTATTCTTGGTCTTGTGTTATTTCTTATCTACATCGATGATCTTCCTGACAATCTTACATCTAAACACGGCTCTATTTGCTGTTGACTATACTTTATACTTCTGTCTTGACAAAAAGTTTTTTTTTGATCACTTTTCTACAGCTTGGTGCTTGCAGTGGCTTGAGAATTTTAACTCAAATAAAACTCAGTTAATTACTGCAAACAGCTAAAGCAATACTGTTGACATTCCTATAATAACAAATGGCAACCCTTTTACTAAGTCCTCTTTTTTATGGCTTCTTAGATTATCATTGACTACTGACCTCTCATGGAAATCATATATACAATCGATTGCAATGTTAGCATCTGCTATGGTTGCTTTTTTTATTTTTGCTCGACATTAATTTACTTCTGATTCCATTCTTTAACTTTACCTTTTATTTGCCCCTGTATGTAATATTGTTTTCACATTTGAGCTGGTTTTTCTAATAAAGCTTTGTTTTTAATTTTTTGTAATGTTTTGCATGACTGCAGACATTTGCTATTTGGCACTGTTCATATAATTGATATTTTGTCTAGTAAGATTTTTTATAGCTCCTAGTCATCTATAGTTCATAGTTTAAAATTTGGATCATTATTTTTTCATTTATATTTTTTTGAATTAGCTATATAAAAAGATTTTCTATTTGAAGTAAAAGCTAGGTTACTCTTAAGTAAAAACTTTGAAGTTGCTGTTTTAAAACTAGTGATTGATTGTTTTCTCCTGAAAATTTAAATTACTAGAGCTTCTTGGCTTTACACATGGATCCTTTCTCAAGCCATTTTATTATTAGCTATGTAACTTTTTGATAGCATCTAGTGAGAAGTATGAAACTAACTATAAGGTAAGTATGAAACTTAACTATAAGGTTCTGAATATGGTTGTAATGAGTGTTTTGAATTTTGTTGCTCTTAGAGAGACTTATCACCATATGCCTTATTTTAAGAAGAAAGTTACAAAGATGTATGAGCGCTTTCCTATAATGTTTCTTATATATCAAGACCTAAAAACTTTTATTCATCTAGTTTTTTTCCCCGCACTTCAACCCTTTATAACTCTCTCCCATCTTCATGTTTTCCTGACTCATAACCCCTTCAACTTTTCAAGTCTTCTGTCAACCGCTTCCTTGCTCTAAAACTCTGTTTTTTTTTTTTCTTCCTAGTAACTCCCAACTTAATAGTGGTTGCTTGCAGCCTTGTTGGGAGTGAATGCAAAAAAAAAAAAAAAAAAAAAAAAAGATCACATAAGTATAATTACTGTTTAGTTTTATTAGTTATCACTGTGGATTATCAAGATCACAACATCCTTTAGAGTAGAGTATATATGAAACCGTTACTTTTTTTTGACATGTGACTGAATAAATGAATCTTTTATATTAAAAAATCTCCATTTATTCTTTAAATCTAATATTTCCACGATACAAAAAAAAAAAAAAAAACTTTATTATTGAGAATTTTTCTTCACACTTTTTATGTTTTCTCTGTTTTTTCTACAGCACTAATTCAATCATAAGTCAAATGGTCATATCTTCTCAAAAATATACTATTTAGTATTTTTTTAATGAGTTTTTTAAGGTCTTGTTTTATATTATTGCGATGTTTACCAATTATTTTTTGTAACTTAAGTTGGTTTCAGCCTTAGTTGCATTATAATGCAGGATAATTGATGGCGGCATGCCCTACAACTATCATCTTAAATATTTTTTTCTTAACATCTTCCACATTTATTTTCTCAATAATACATGTGTGCGGGTGTGTGGGCCATATATATATATATATATATATATATATATATATATATATATATATATATATATATATATATATATATATATATATATATATATATATATATATTTAAAACAGCAGAAATCTTTTAATTTAAACTAAAAGTCGAACTAAAACTTTAGTCCCTTCAGAGTTTATTATTTATGATTGAACTCTTATAATTCAAAAACTTTTGTAATTTGAACATTTTTTGAGACCCCTTAAGGATTCTAATTGCATGAGTATATATATATATATATATATATATATATATATATATATATATATATATATATATATATATATATATATATATATATATATATATATATATATATATATATATATTATTACTACTATTATTATTACAACTTTTATTATTTACTTACTATTAAATTAGTTATTTTTACACCAAGAGAAAACTTTAGTTTAACTTTTTTTTTGATCAGACAATTATCATTGTATTGCTTTAGGATGGCATCTATTACTATATCTTATTAAATAAATGCAACTTCAGCAAAGTTAATAATGTGGAATCTTGGAAACTTTTTTTTGCTGGTATTATACTTAGGAAAACTAAGTTTTTAAAACCTTTTTTTGGTTTTTAAAAAAGTTCAGAGGATAAAAAATGCTGTCATAAACAAAGCAGTCAATTCTTAGTTTCTTTCAAACCGTAAACAGTTTTAATGAAACAGTCTGTTTATCACAAAAATTAATGAAAAAGCAAAACAATAAATTTACAACTGCAAAAATAATAACAGTCAAAATTTACATATTAGTTATTTTTTTCTTTTAAACAATAATTAATAATATGTAATTTAAGTATTATAAACAAAAAAAGTTGCAAGACAAAAATTATTATTACTAAAGGTCCGAAAAACTTTTGCGGTAAAATCAACCAATTAAAAACTATGCTTAAGCTATTTGCACATTGTATAAAACTTTGTATAAAAAAACAACCAATTAAAAAGTATGCTAAAGCTACTTGCGCATTATATAAAACATTAAAATATTTATTTATTTAGGGGGAAAGTTTATGAAATTATTTATTTAAAAATTTAAGAAAAAAAATTATAAAGTATACTTTTTTAAAATATGTTATTAGAGTTTCTTTTTTTTTGTTTTGTTTTAAAGTAACTATTAAAAAGTTTAAATTAGTTTTTATATATTAACTCCTCCATCTTTTAATTTATATTTGTATCAGCTAAAGTGTTACAAGCATTAAATTTATAAGAAAATATTGAATGAGATTTAAATAACATATCAAAGTATTTTATATCTTAATTAACAATTTCTTTTCTTTAAAATATCCAATCACTGTTTAAGTCCTTTAGATTGTTGTGATTAGCACTTGTTTTTTAATATTTATATCGTACTTTATCGTGCTTTTTTTTTCTAGTTTGATGTTTTATAAAATAAATTAAAATATTAAAGTTTAAACTATAATCTTTAATAATTATAAAAATAATAGTGATAATATGGTTTTACATTAGGATTTTATATCATAATCAACGTAAATATTTTTTATTAAATGATTTATTGAGTTTAGTGATCAAAACAGTTTTACGGATTTTAAAAAGCTAAAATTTTAAAGACCGGAAGCATTTCCAGATATCGCAATTCGCTATCACTTAATTTGAGCCCTGCATTTATTTCTTGGTACTAGAAAAATGAGAATGACAAACTGCAAACCAATAAAATGCAAACTTTTTGAAATCAGAATCTTCAACAGAACATAATTAAAAATGTCTTAAGGTAAAACAAACTATAATGGCTGTAAATTTTTTTTCTAAAATTATTTAAAAAAACATAAAAAAAAAAAAAAAAACAGTGTTTTAAAGTACCTCTTTATAAACAGGTTGCTTACTCTTTTGTTTTGGTGGTTTAGATTCTGGTTCAGTACTATCTGCTTCTACTGCTTGAGTTTTTTGCAAATTAGCAGTAATACGTTCTGTTTCTTGCTAAAATTAATAAAACAATAAATAAACATGTGTTATATTGAAATACTCAAGGAATTGTTGAATAAAAAAAATTAGCAGTTTAATTGTTAAACAAATTAAAAAGCAAAACAAAAATATGAAAATAACAAGTATTTGTTATTTTCAAAAACTTTAAATTTAACTTATCACACTTAATAAATGTAATATAACTATTAATTATTAATATACATTAAAAAATATGATATTCAGGGAAGAAAAATCTACCCCGTATTTTGGTAAACCCAAAGTTTAAAGTAGAAAAAGAACGCCAGTGTTAACAGTTGATATCAATGCAAATGGGGATCATAGAGATAAGCAAAGGTGGTGGAAAAGTGCTTGGTGGAAAAGTGTTTATCAAAAAAAAAAAAAAAAAAAAAAAAAATAATAATAATAATAATAAACTTTGAAGCTTATTTTAAATGTTTTAATGTTAAATAATTTAATTATTTTGTTTTATGATGTCTTGACCTTATAGTGAACTAGATTTGCTAAGAAAAATAAATAAAATTTTCTTTAAAAATCATAAAAAAGTAGCAGTAATCATGTGAACTTTAAAACAAAAAAGGTGAAAATTTTTGAATATTAAAAGTTTGTTTTTTAAATAATAAATTTACTCAACAATTTACTATCTTGGAGCAATCCTAAAACTGATTTTTTATACAGCAAAAAAAGACTACACAACATAATTTGAAATATAAATATGAAAGATTTGCTTACATAAAAAATACAAAACACAAACTAAATACACAATTTAATTAAAAATTAAAACAAATAGCAGTATTGTTTTGTCAAACTGTTCACAATAAAAAATGATGATTTAAAAAATATCTTTTCAATAAAACTTGTAATTAAGTTCATAATAAGTTTGAATAAAAAAATCAATATGCATTAAATATAAAGCAAAATTTTCAAGCAAACATATGATCAATTAATAAAAATAAGTTGATTTACCTTGCGAATAAGAATCTCCTCTTTTTTTTTCTCTAAAAACTGTTCTGGGATGCCAGCTATACTTGTTTGAGCACTTACAAGATGTGCCCATAACTCTCCCATAAATATACGTGCATTTTTACCATTCAAGAACCCAGTTACAGATATCTGGAGAGATTTAGGATCTGGATACTAAATTTAATAAACCATTAATTTTATTTTATAAATATTAAAAAATAAGAGAATTTAATTCAAGTTAAAATTTTATTTACTAACTTGGTTGTTATTGATTCAACCATTAAATTTTATAATAGAGGTAATATTTAATAACCCATTTAAAAAATATAGAAAAATTCTTTTTAAACTATTTCAGCTGATTTCTATATAATAATGGCTAGAAATCATCATTTCAGTATAGTTCTTGTCAAACAGCTGATTACTATATAATAATGGTTGGAAATCATCATTTCAGTATAGTTTTTGTCAAACATTTCGTTGGTTTATTTTTAAACATTTTAAATTAACTTTTTATATTTTATAACAATATAGTTTGTAATAGTTTTAAAAATTTAATTTAAATTTATAAAATAAAGTTTTTAATTAAAAAATAAGAAATTAAAGCAATTCTTTAAGAACCAAATCTAAAGAAATAAACAGGACTTATATCTATGTCATAATGTCAATACATGTTATTCAAATGTCAATAAACAATACTTAGATCTCAGCATGCATTACTCAGTATTATTTTGTTTAAATTTTGATTGATACATGTACTAAATTTAAAATCTACAACTTTTTTTGATTAAAGAAAATTTTGCCTTTTTCTCTTGCTAGTAAATTACAAGAGACTTTCCCCCAAAATTAGTGTGCAATTTTTTTAATTTTAATTTAGAAATTTTTTTTTTGTTTATTCAGAAATTGGTGCATCTAACTACTGTTAACTCTGATGAAAACAACAAGATCTAAAAATGGAAAGAATAAAGTAGCGAATGTCGACAAATGTTACACATTGGAACTGGATTCCACTTAGTAGAGACTGTACTCCACAAATTCGAACAGGTAACACTTAAAAAGTACCTGATTACTTGAAAAATTGATCACCCTCTACCAGTGGCAAAAGTTGAAAATAAGCAAACCACCAGTAGCAGAAGTCCAACTTTAAAAATAATTTGTTTCCAATAACTCTTTCAGCAGATGAATTTTTTCAAATTTCCAACCCCTAAACTGGTAAAATAAGTTAAACAAAAATGATGAATGTTGACCATGAACTTATGCTTCACTGCTATTTATTTTAGATTTAGTTTTAATAAGTTATAGTTATAAGAAAGCTAAATATATCAACTATCCCTTCCCTTTATAACCATCCATATAGCTCAATATAACTATAATTAGCAAAGAATTGAGTTTAAACAACCTGAAAAAAAAAAAAAAAAAAAAAGTTTGAATACTACAATAGAACATTAAAAAAAAAAAAAAAAAAAAACTAAATTCACCTTCCCAAAGCTCTAGAGGGGGGCAATTACAGTCAAGGAGGCTACCATTTTTTTTCAAGTTTTAATTCTCTTCCAATCTTTAACTCTAAAACTTGTTTTACAAGGCCGCTGCGCAGAGAAACTGGTAACTTCCTGGAATTGACCATAAATTAATAACATTCATGAAACAATTTATTTTGGACATGTGATTTATGAACTAAGAGAATTTCAAACTTATTTGAAAAATACTTTATTACAATTTATAAAGCATAAAATTTAAAAAATCAGATTCTGAGTTTGATTTAATAAAATATTCTGATTATATTTGATGTAACTATTTGAACAAAATCAATATTTTAAAAATGAAAGTGAGCAGAATATATACCTAAATCTGCAATAGAATTTATTACCTAAATCTGCAATAGTTGAGTATATCTTGTAAAAAACTTGTATTTAGTAACATATCTATTTAATAGTACTATATATTCAAGCCATTAAAACTATGATAAAAAATATAAGCAAGTGCAATTAGAATTAGAATCAAGAGGTTCCAGCTTGCTAGCTTAAGCCATGTACACAATATCAGTAAAGAGGGTGGTGTAAACTTTCTTGTTAAATACTCCTCTGTGGTGCTATGTGACAATACCATTAGGTCTTCTTGGAGCACATTAGTAACCAGATAAAATTAAAACTTATTGAAGAAAAAAAAACTCTTTATATTTGAAAATGTTGGAGATACCACACTATAAAAAACAAAATGCTGCAATTGCAAACACATTATCTTGAAATCAAAGTTGAATTTATGGTTTCTAAAAATTGAACTTAAAATGTTATGATTTTTTTATGTTTTATTAAAAAAAAGTTGAGTAATTATTATATTGAAACAAAATAGTCAAAACAGTAAAAATGATTTAAATGAAATTTTTTATTCTTTTCATTCTTTTGAAATTTTTTTTATTATTAAACAAAAGTAAAAATAAATTTTTTTTAATGATAAATAAAAGTTTTTATTTACAAACATAAAAATGTATAGTTTTAAATATTCTTTTGTACAAATTGATCTAAGTAAGCTGTTTAAACATTTAGTTTAAAGCTATTTCAGGATGTTAGAATTTTTTTGTGGTTGATAAAGTACAGATTGGCTGAAAATGTTCAAAAACAAAAGAAGGTGTTCATGATTCTTTCTATTTACACTTTGCTTACCAATTGAAACTGACTTTCAGATGAGCATTTAACAAGAATTTCATGCCTCCTTCATTTTCGGTGTTGCAAAACTTGCTCAAAGGTGGGTTCGAACTACAGAACCCTTGCATCTGAGGCAAGCGTGCTATTAATGCACCTTGGCTGCTCGAATTTAATAGTTTTAAAATCTATAAAGTATCAGTTGTTGTCTCTTTTTGAAATGATATTTTCCAAAATAATTTACTCTAAAATATGATGATAGCATCCGAGTCCAAAAAGAGTTTTCATAAATTTTCATTGCAAGCATTTTCATAGATTTAATGTCAGATTTTCAACTGAAATTTTAACAAATTATTTTTCCTACTTATTTCTCTAGTTACAACCAGGGCCAACAACACGGGTTTTAAAGTGGGGGGCACAATTGTCAAATTCTAAAAAAAGTCTTCTATATCTAGAATTTTCTTCAAAAAAAAAGTCCTTTAGAAAAAAAAAAAGGGGAGGGGTACACATGCCCCCGATGTTGTTGGCTCTGACAACTCCACCTTTGAAAGGTGATAAAAAGCATCTTATAAAAAATTATTTGATTTTAAAAGTTGTTAATTTTTAGGAATGTATAAATGAAGAAAATTATACAAACAATATGTTTAATAACAACTTTTAGTTAATTGTTTAAAATACAATCTTATACATCCGGTTGTCATGGGCGCCCAGAGCCTTCACGCTGCTTGGGACAGGCAACTTCGATTGGAGCCCATATTTTTCAAAATACTTCTATATCACCATTGAAGGGCCTTTTTTTATTTTGTTTTATTTTCTTTGGTGCCTTTTAGACATCTGCCACTCGGAATAAACTGTCCCTTTCATTGCCCCTACCATGTTCATACCTAACATATTGAGTACCACTTTTAAACAATAGTAACAGCTATTGTTTTTTTAATTGTGATGCCAAAAAAAAAAATCAAATCTCACCACCACCACCACCAAAAATTTGTGAAACTGTCACTGTAAACATTATTTAGTATAAATATTTATATTCCTGTTCTTTCAAGTGAACAAAATATAAAATTAAAGTGAGCTTATGAAAAAATTGAATACAAAAAATTAAATAAAAAACAGCCTCTATTTCCACATCCAATCAACTGACCATTTCCCTCCTCCCAAAATCTTTACACATTTGAACACCCCATAGACGAGACATAATTTCAGAGTATTATACTCTTTTTGAAGTAATCTTTTATATCCTCTTATACATTTTTTAATTACTAAATATACTATTTTGTAGGAATTTTTTATGTATTAAATATTGTCATTTCAAATTACCTAAACAGAAAATAAATATATTTAAAACTGATTTCATAAAATTTGTTTTATCTACTTTCCCTAACTGATCTACTAAACCTCTCCCTGTTTTTAATTAAGTAGGTAATTATAGGTTAACAAATAAGGTTTGTTAAAAAGTAAGCATATGATAAGAATAATATTAGTTATACTTAGCTTTTTAAGCACATTATTAAAATTCTAATTGCATTGGAAATTCATTGAATTGCAAAATAAATTTGTTTAAGTATGGTAAAGTTTCCTATACATTATTTATATTATTATCTTGATATATTCTTACTAGATCTCAAGTTGTAAATTATTGTTTTTATTTTAATCTTGCAGTACTTTAATTATTTAAAAATTCGCAGTACTATAATTATTTAAAATTACTTGCAGTACTATAATTATTTAAAAATATGCAGAATAATCCTTTTAATGACCCTCCCTCCCTCTTTGTACGCACATGTATGCTATAAATTACTGTCGGGTCAGGAGTATGGTCTTCATGATCATTATGCTAATGGTAACATGTAACCCAGTGCAACATGTTCCATGTTCTGCTGCCTTGCAGGATTTGCTTTCTAAGCAAAGGCTGGAAGGAATGTGCTTCCTGTCATCAGTACTATGTTATATCAGTCATGCCTATAGTAACTTTTTTTAATATAGTTGGAGGTGCCTTAGTTACTGTATTAGCTACTTTATATGTATGTTTGTGTTCTGTCTGAACCTCTGGCTCGGTGTTTGCTCACCCGTAAGTTACTTTATGTTTTTTATGTATGTTTGTGTTCTGTCTGAACCTCTGGCGCGGTATTCCCTCACCCGTAAGTTACTTTATGTTTTTTATGTTTTTTTTAATGTATGTTTGTGTTCTGTCTGAACCTCTGGCGCGGTGTTCGCTCACCCGTAAGTTACTTAATGTTTTTTATGTATGTTTGTGTTCTGTCTGAACCTCTGGCACGGTGTTGACTAACCCGTAAGTTGATCTATGTTTGTTTGTGTTCTGTTTATTCTCTGATGCAGCGTGAGCTCAGTAACTAGCTACTTACTCCAACTACAAAACCTACACTCACCTTAGACTCCTGTAATTTGTTAGATGCAGTGTTTTTCCTAATGCACTTCTAAAATGTCATGCCTGGTTTTCTCAAAGTACTGTTGCGGGAAGTAACTGCTTTAACTACACCAGGTCAGGTCAGGATAATCAAGATCAATCTTGCTACT